TCTCTCCTTTAATATTTACCTGCCGGTTGATCTTTCCATTTCACCGATTCTCTTTTTATCCAGGCACTTCCTGTTCAAGAATCCAAAGTGCCTGCCTGCAGTCTGTAGGGAAAAGGTTCACACCTTGGTCTGCACTCTAGGGGACCACTGTACCTAGTTTAACCACAGCAGCTCAGGCTCAGCTGTTTGACACCCTCTGCGCACCTGGCGCTCTGCGCGGCCGAGCCTACCCACGACTCCCAGCCACTCCTGTTTGCTGTGAGCCCTGGACAGACAGTCCCAGCTCTGCTCACTGGACGTTTGATCTCTGTCCCCTTTAATGTGAGTTACATTTTCAAGTGACATAGGTCATCCCGCACAATAAATTATTATGGGGATTTGACTTTGGCTTCATAGCTCTTATCCTGAAATTTGGACAATGGTTGCCTTAAAATGCAAGATGACATTTAAAAAGGTAAAATTATAAAATTATCCATCTTTTGTTAATGGTAAAACACAAACAGATACAGAACCCCAATCTGGGCCTCCCTTAGGCACTTAGAGTGAGAGCTGTTGACTTAAAAAATAGTCACAACCTAAAAGCTGAGAATTATGTTTTATTCCTTGGACATTTTTAGGACTTAAGCCCGAGAGGCAGCATCTCAAGTAACCCTGAGAGAACTGCTCAAAGGAGGAGGCAAGGAGGAGACTCAGAATATATAGGAGTTTTGCAACAAAGGGCAGGTAGTCTGAATATCAAGAGATTATTGTTAATTAAAGAAAACCAGATGTCTTAAGGAATTTAGTGCTTTGCTATATATAGGATGATGCAAGAGTCTGGGCTCACTGAAATCACTCCTTTCATATGCACCTCACATCTGGGGCCAGCATTCTGTGATTTTTTACATCCTGAGTCCCTGGGTGCTCCCTGTAGGGAGTGGCAGCAGCCTGACGGCTGTTGATGGCAGGTATTTTTCTCCTTCCTGAGTTCCGTGGGGGGCTGGGATCACTGATGAGTGTGACATTCTTGTTTATGGATATGGCAAGAAATATTCCAGTTCTTAGGATTGGCTTCTACTTTGTCCCCCACGTGGCCACGTGGACCTCTGGGACCGCCACCCACAGATGCAGGGCTGCCTGCTCTGCGAGGGTCCCCCTGGGGACGTGCCCTGGCCGTGTGCTCTGCGGGGACCACATTGTGCTGCATCAACTGGGATGGTGGTTCTGCTCCTGTCATGTCACCTGCCCCAAGTCCAAGGGCATGATGGCCCCAAACACACCGGCCCACTGGGGCGCCTGTAATGGGTTCTGCAGGGCGTGTGGCACGTGTCACAGCCTGTCACGGGGGTCTTCTCAGAGGGTGACCACCCTCTGCCACTCAGTCACTTGGCTGTGCCATCCAGCTGCTCTCGCCTCCTTGTGTAGGACAGTTGGCACCATCCCAAGGTGGGGATGCCTGTCACCTTGGCCCTGGGGACACTCTGATCCCCCTGAGGCACTAGGGGTGGGCAGTCCTTCCCGCAGGGACTGGCTGTTTGCTCGTGGCGAGAGGGTGCTGCAACTGTGTCTGGCCGACTGACACTGGACCCTGAGCCAGGGTGGGAAAACATCTAGTTTTATTCATGACACGTGAACACTCTGGTTACCAGATGAAGCTGAATTGTAGGGCATGATGTCCCAGCTTTTTGCTTTGTGTGGGAACTGACATAGGCAGGTTCTAATTTTTAATTTTGCCAAATAAGAGCATTAATAAAATCTATTCATCTCATATTCTATCATAAGAAGAAAAAAAAAGCCTAAAATTACTGCATGAGAAGATGTTATTAAATGGAATAGATTTAGCTTTGTGATTCTTATTTTCCTCCCTTCACTGAGGCTGGGTCAAAACTGGTCCAGGAGTGGGTCCACTGGTCCTAAGTTTTGGGGAACCATGATTCTGTGACCCATGATCACTTAGTGAAGTGTTAGGTCCTCTTTCAGTCTGGCAACTAGCTCACCCTCTCCCCCTCCTCCTGCCCCCACCACACACGTCTTTGCAACACCTTCCAACAACTACTGGCTCTAACGGCTTGTCCTCTAATGATTTCCTGTGTGGGCATCTTGTCCCTTCCAGCCAGACTGTGATGCTAGGTAAATAGAAGGCACTGAATGGCTAATCATTCGAATTTGTTTCTGTAACATACGCTGGTCTGTTGTTTAGAGGACTGCAGGCTACTGATGTGTGTGTTGTGTGTCTCTGTGTGTGTGTGTTTGGAAGTCAGCTGGAGTCCTCTATATGCCTAGGAACATAAATGAAGGATGCGCATTTTTGAAGAATGAAGGGCTTCTCAGGTGGCACTAGTGGTAAAGAACCTGCCTGCCAATGCTCGAGATGGAAGAGACGTGGGTTCAATCCCTGAGTCGGAAATATCCCCTGGGAGGAGGACATGGCAACCCACTCCAGTATTCTTGCCTGGAGAATCCCATGGACAGTGCAGCCTGGAGAGTTGCAAAGAGTCAGACATTACTGAAGCGACTTAGCAGGAAGCACAAAACAAGCTTTGCCATAAGAAGACAAGCCTGTGGAGTTTTCTCCATTTTCCTCTGTTTCCTGCAAAGCTGGAAGGTTGGACTCCCTGTTTTGTGGATGTGGCCCTATATCTGAGCCTCTTCACGCTCTCCTCATTTTTGATGATTTAATGATTCTGCAGGGTGTAACCAGTAGCTGAGATTCTCCCACAAAATATCAGAATTATTTTTCATTTTAATGTTTTTTATTTTTAAAAAATCATAAAATATTTCTCAGAGTGACAGCCGAGCTTCAATATTTATGACTTTCTGATTGCTCTAGCAGTTTAGAAAAAAATTTTTTAAAATGAGCCCTCAAGTAAAATTTAAGTGGAAAAGATGAAAATTCAGAATTATGGACTTAAGCACTTGAATAAACACTCTTGGCGGGGAGATTTTATGTGCCAGTCCTCATTTCCCTACACTTGACAGTCCTTGAAAAAGGACTTAAATTCTTTCTTGAAAATATATGGGCAGTGTTATTTTTGGAAGATACACTTTTCTGTATCAACACAACTCCCCCTCCCCCCAAGGTTTTCGCCTTGCCCCCCCCCGGTTTTTGGCGTTTTCTTTTTGGTTAAAACCCAGGCCCAGTTGGGGTTCTTTTGGTTGGTTGAATTGGTTAATTGGCGGACCTTCTTTTTTTTTGGGTTTTTTTAACTGACACTCACACGGCTGACTTATCAGTATGTGCTCAACACTGTTCAGTTGCTTCCATTTTGGGCCATTCTCATTGTTTTCCCAAATGAGTTTTCAGGTTCAAATGTATTAAGTCTTATGACTAAATTAGATTCTCTTTCCTTACCCCAAGTGCAGCTGTTTAATTGCTTTGTGATTTTGTGATTGGTTTCTCTTCTTCAAATAATATGTTTCTCTAATGATTTAATAGATTATGTTATTCATGCCTGATTAATTTCTTTGAAGGGAAGAATAACCTGATTCTCTCCCTTTAAGGTGTATTTAGTGTAACTTTATCACCATCAGTTCAAACTGCCATAAGAGAGGTTACGGATATGCCTGGGAAAATAGACAGCGATGAGACAAATAATCTCAGAAAGGGAATAAGGCAGGATCCTCTTTCCCCATAAGAGACTCACTATAAATGAGAATTTTGTTAAACTTCATTAAAATGTTTACACCTTAATAAGACCCGAGACCTGTGGCATTTTATTGTCTTAGTTTTTTTCTCATTCATTCATTCTTTCAACACATCTTTTTGAGTGACATTGACCCTTGTTCTAGATGCTGGGAGAATGGTAGCAAATAACTCCAAGAAAAATTCTGGCTTTGTGAATTCTAATGAACTTTTTTTTTTTTTAAAATAAAAAGCTCATTGTGTGAGCTTACTGAAGTTTATATAGAAGACTTGATTATATATTGCAGCCTTATTATTAAAGAAGCCAACGTGACTCATCTGGGATTAGATTCTTAGGGGGACATAGTGCAGAGGGTGGTGGTAAAACACCCCTTTTCTCAACCTGGGATCTGAGTGGTAGCGGGTATACCTTGTGGAGCCTGAAAGTGACCAAGGGGCGGAGAGAAAGGACATGGGAAACAGGAAATGTCAGTATTGTTTACAGTAGGCATTGTGACCACCTTCTCCCACACATTCTAAACAGCAGAGGAGAAAATCATCCTTGTGTTCGGTCCAAGAAAAAGGTTTTACTCAAAACAATATCTAAAAAAAATGTTGGACTTGGCCAATTTTGGGATTTTGCAGATGATGAGGCAAAACCTTAGGCAGAGCTGACCTTGTGTGTGTGCATGCTACAGTTCTGAATGAGAAGAAGGCGGAGTTGGGAAATACCTCTCTCGTCTCCCCTTTACCCTTTTCTGCCTCTGACTTACTTATCCTTACCCCCAACCCCCATGGTAGGGTTTAGCCCTGGGATTAAACCCCTACTTAGAAATGAGCCACTTAGCGAAGCTTCAGTTTCCTCATCTAGGAAATACAAATAAGAGTACTAACTTCAGAAGGTGTAAGTGAAGATTAGTTATAATCATACTGGTGCTTCATACTCAGTTGGGTCCAATTCTTTGCAACCCCATGGACTGTAGCCCATCAGGCTCCTCCATCCATGGGATTCTCCAGGTAAGAATACTGGTGTGGGTTGCCATTCCCTTCTGTAGGGGATCTTCCCGATCCAGGGATTGAACCCAGGTTTCCTGCATTGCAGGCAGATTATTTACCATCTGAGTCACCATATATAAATATAAATATGCTGTATGTGAAAGTGCTTTGATACAATTAATAACAAGACTTAGCATCATAACTACTATTTCCTTAAGGAATGGGAATAAAACTCTGAGAAACACAGGAAGCTCTACCTTAAAAGCCTTCCACATGGAATGGCCATGGGGTGGGTTTGTTTGTTGATCAGATGGTGCTTTTAATTAGATCATGTGTGAGGTTTCACATTCTGCCCACGGAAAGCCTTATCAAACCTGGCTCATTCTGATCCCCAGTTACTCACTCTCGCCAGGCTGGTCCCAGATGGAACTTTATAAGGGACGTACTTCCTGTAGATATGACCGACCCTGGAACATGGAACGTCAAACATTTCTCCTCCACACATCCAGACCTACAGAGGGGAAATTGGAAGTGTCATAAAAGAGAACAGTACATTTCATACAAAAGCCCCCAGATTATTAGCACATGTATGTGTATATATATGTATATATCACTTTCCTCTTGAGCCTCCTTCTGTCCCCCCATCCCACCCTTCTAGGTCATCAGAGTGCCAGCCTGCGCTCCCTGTGTTATTTAACAACTTCCCATTATTTTACACATGGTAGTGTATACATGTCAATGCTACTTTCTCAATTTGTCCCACCCTCACCTTGTCCTACTGTGTCCACAAGTCCATTCTATACTAGGTTCATTAGTACCATTTTTCTAGATTCCATATCTATATGTTAGTTTTTCTCTTTCTGGCTTATTTCACTCTCTTCAAGAGACACTAGGTTCATCCACTTCACTATAACTGACCCAGATTCATTCTCTTTATGGCTGAGTGATATTCCATTGTGTATATGTACCACAAACTCTTTATCCATTTACCTGTCAATGGTCATCTAGGTTGCTTCCATGTTCTGGTGATTGTAAATATAGCTGCAGTGAACATTGGGGTACCTGTATCTTTTAGAATTGTGGTTTTCTCAGGGTATATGCCCAGTGGTGGGATTGCTGGGTCATTTGGTGGTTTTATCCCTAGTTTTTTAAGGAATCTCTGTACTGTTCTCCATAGTGGCTGTATCAGTTTACATTCCCACCAACAGTGCAGGTAGGTTCCTTTTCTCCACATCCTCTCCAGCATTTATGGTTTGTAGATTTTTTGATGATGGCCATTCTGATAGGTGTGAGGTGATAGATAACCTCATTGCAGTTTTGATTTGCATTTCTCTAATAATGAGTGATGTTGAGCATCTTTTCATGTGTTTATTGGCCATCTGTATGTCTTCTTTGGAGAAATGTTTGTTTAGGCTCTCTGCTCATGTTTTGATTGGGTTGTTTGATTTTCTGATATTGAGCCGTATGAATTGCATCTTTTCATGTGTTTATTGGCCATTTCTACATCTTCTTTGGAGAAATGTTTGTTTAGGCTCTCTGCTCATGTTTTGATTGGGTTGTTTGATTTTCTGATATTGAGCCGTATGAATTGCTTATATATTTTGGAGATTAACCCTTTGTCAGTTGCTTTGTTTGCAATTATTTTCTCCCATTCTAATGGTTGTCTTTTCATCTTGTTTATAGATTTCTTTGCTGTGCAAAAGCTTTTAAATTTTATTAGGTCCTATTTATTTATTTTTCTCATTATTTTCATTCATCTAGGAGGTAACCCCACACTTTCAAAAGCTCAGATTCATAAAAGTAAACAACCAAAATATTAGTTCACTATATCCAATTTCCATAGACATGTTGACATTTTTAAAAGTTCTAGTAGAATTTATTACAGCTGTTGTATTACTTTGGGGTTTAATGGTTGGATGTCTTATTTATATAGATATTTGTTTTGACAATCTCGTGGAATCATTTGAGGAAATAACATTGGAATTTAAATGTCAATTAAAAATTTGAAGTGTAAATATGAAATTCCTAAAACTGGTGAATGAGTTAAAGAACATAAGTTTATCCACACTTTACTTCTAGGTAAAGTAGAGGTAAACTTTCAGTAGAGTTTACTTAAAAAATGAGGGTTGTGTTCTAATTTCTCTCGACCCCTGAACTTTTCTTAGGTACAGAAAATAATTGGTTAGCAATGTAAACTCAAGACATGGAAAACTCAGGATATCTGTTAAGATGCTGTACTTATATTTAGCAACAAAAATTAATTGGTTGTATTTTACCATGACTAATCGCTTTAACCACTAATTATGGTTTTATATAACAGGCTACTTACTATAAAAGAACTAACTATCAACACATACATGCAGGCTTTGTATATGCTAGAATTTTTAACTGTTTTCATTGCAAGAAAATGATTAAAAAAAGAGTTAGATAATGTAACAGTTTTTTAACATTTATTTTTAGTTGGAGGATAGTTATAATATTGTGTTGGTCTCTGCCATATATCAACATGAATCAGCCACAGGTACACACATGTCCTTCCTTCTTGGACCTCCCACCCACCTCCCACCCCGTCCCACCCCTCTAGGTTGTCACAGAGCACTGGGTTGACCTCCCAGTGTCATACATCAAATTCCCACTGGCTCTCTGTTTTACATATGGTAGTGTATATGTTTCAGTGCTGTTCTCTCTATCTGTCTCACCCACTGTGTCTGGGGGACAGGTCTGGGGACAGATCTTTGTTTTTCCCCTTTTCACATTTAATCTTTAATTGCTCCAGTCTCTTGGGATCTTTCCAGGTGCCTGTACTATATAGTTTAGAAGGTTCACTGATCCTGCCAGCTTTACATGATCTGTGCAGAGTTCTGATGTCTTGATCCAGAACCAAGTTGAAATTGATACCATGGGTAATCTTAAATGCATTTAGAGCAACCGAGTATTGTTTTAATAATCCACTTGCCTTCCCCTTGGGGTTCCCTCAGCATTTGTTCACCAGTCTTACTTAGAGTGCCATTTCTCTTAGTGAAAGAAGCTGGAACTGTTGACTGAAAAAATACATGCAACCTAAAAGTTGAGTGCTATGTTTTATTCAGTGGGAATTTTTAGGACTTCAAGGCTGGGAGATAGCATCTCCCGAGAAAAGATGAGAGAGACAGCCCTGAGAGAACTGCTCTGAAGAAGCGAGGGGAGCAGTCAAGGTTATACAGAAGTTTTGTAACAAAGGACAGGTAGTCTGAACATCAGAAGTATTTTTGTGAGTTAGAGAAAACCAGATACCCCAAGTTAAGGAATTTAGCACTTTTCTGTGTATGGGAAGATGCAAGAGCCTGGGCTCACTGAAGTCATTCCTTTCATGTGCACCTCAGCTGTCTGGGGCCGGTGTCCTGCGTTTTCACACCTGAGTTCCTCAGTGCTCACTGTGGGGAGTGGCTGCAGTCTGATCGGTGCCAGATCATGGATATTCTTTTCCTTCCTGGGTGCTCTTGGGGCTCAGAAACTGTCATTTGGAGGGCTGGCATTGAGGATGACTGTGACATGCTTGTTCACTGTTAATGGCAGGATATACTTCATTTCTCAGAACCACGTGTAAGACATAAGCATTTCTCTTTCCCTCTTCCAATATTTCACTTTAAAAGACATTGTGTATCTGTGTCAGGGTTCTCCAGAGAAACAGAACCAACAAGGTATGCATAGAGGGAAACGTTTATTTAAAGGAAGTGGCTCATGCAATTGAGGAGGCTTGGGGAAATTCATCTGCAAGGTAGACCAGCAAGCTAAAGATGCAGGAAGGGCTGCAATTCAAGTCCCAAGCCAGGAAGTCTGCAGGCAGAATCCCCTCCTGCTTGAGAATGGCCAGTCTTTGTTCTACTGGGGCCTTTCAGTGACTGGATAAGCCCACTCTCACTATGGACAGAAACTGCTTTTCTCAAAATCCACCAATTTAAATGTTAATCTCATTCAAAAAACATCCTCCTGGAAACATCCAGAATGATATCTGGACATGCTTGGGTAGCCTTTGACACATGAAACTGAGCATTTATGCAGCACTACTTACAATAGCTAGAACATGAAAGCATTCTATATGTCCATCAACAGAGGAATAGATGAAGAAGTTGTTGTACATATATATAATACAGGAATATTACTCAGCCATAAAATGGAATACATTTGAGTCAGTTCTAATGAGGTGGATGAGCCTAGAGCTTGTTATATAAAGTGAAGTAAGTCAGAAAGAGGAAATCAAGTATTGTATATTTATGCATATATGGAATCTAGAAAGATGGTATTGATGAATCTATTTGCAGGGCAGCAATGGAGATGCAGACATAGAGAACCGACTTGTGGATACAATCAATGACACTTTGTAGACAAATGTGTAACTCTGGATGTACAGTTGATCTAGCTGATATTTTGTGAGTGGATTAACAAGACCTTTGCATCATTGTGCTCTTTTTCATTTAATGCCCACGACTCCATGACCAGCTTTACTATTTCTCCAATTATATAGGTGGAAACATGGCAGTCTAGAAGCTCCCTTGCCCAGAGCCACATAACGGGCCACATTCAGAACAGAGATATGAGTCCTCATGGTCCAACTTCAAGGTGGCCCATTGGTAAAGAATCTGGCTGCCAAGCAGGAGATGCAGGTTCGATCCCTGGGTTGGGAAGATTTCCTGGAGTAGGAAATGGCAACCCACTCCAGTATTCTTGACTAGGAAATGCCATGGACAGAGGATCCTGGTAGGCTACAGTCCATGGGGTGACAAAGAGTTGGACACAACTTAGTGGCTAAATAACAACAACAAAAGTACATACTTGAGGCTTTGCTGAGCATGTCGTCTTGCAGCTACAAAAGTCTGCATGTATGCTAAGAACATGCATGTATGCTAAGAACATGCATGTATGCTAAGGCACTTCAGTCGTGTCCTGCTCTTTGCGACCCCGTGGACTGTAGCCCACTATGCTCCCTGTCCATGGGATTCTCCAGGCAAGAACACTGGAGTGGGTTGCCGTGCTCTCCTCCAGGGGATCTTCTTGACCTAGGGATCGAACTCACATCTCTTATGTCTCCCACATTGGCTGACAGGTTTTTTAGCACTAGTGCCATCTGGGAAGCCCAGCTAAGATGAAACATGACTGTATTTCAATAAAACTTTGATGACAAAGATAGGCAGTGGATCATAGTTTGCTGGCCCCAATTCTGTAAAATACACAGTACTTTCAAACACTGAAATTCAGCCATTCTAAGATAATACGTATAGGAGGTTGCACCTTCCCCAGCTGGTTGCCATAATGTTTCCTCTGCCATGTGACCTTGGTACCCGCCACTGAGATGTGGGACTGTGTCCTCTGTCCTTGGGTTTGGATGTGCTTGTGAAGTCTCAGACCCATAGAATACAGCCAGCAGAAGTGACCGAGGTCATCAAAGGCAGCAGAGCTTCTGCCTGGCCACTGAGACCTTCATTTTTGCAGATCTGAGCTGCCAGCTAAGAAATCTGACTCCTTGAGTTGACC